AATGAATTTCGGGAAATACGCAAAACTTGCCCGGATAGGCCAATTTGCTGAGAGATAGCTTGCTGGTACCGAAAGTACATGCCAGATACTGTGTGGTGCGCTGACACTTTGCTCACGTTCTTTTGCTGCACTCAAATAGATTTGATTATCTGATAAAAAGACAATTCTGTCTGTGCTTTCCTGCAAAAAATTGAACATTCATGATGCATCAGATGAGATTAATAATTGATCTCAGATATCCGATAAAATAAATCGCAGATAAAATGTGTACAGCACATAGAAAAATGTTCATACAAATCAAAATTCTGTAATATCAAAATTTTAAATTCCAAAAAATTCCAAACATTTAAAAAATTTTTACAGTTAATTTAAAAACCTTAAGCGATCAAAAACGAAAATCAAAAAAACATAAATTTGAATGAATTAAAACTGGGAATATTTTAACAAAAAAGACGATTTAAGTCTGGAAAACGGGAATTTTAGCCCAAATAAGGAATCATTTTAAAGAAATTTAAAATTTTAGAAACCAAGGCGCAAAATTAGGAATCGAAACAATTCAAAATTTAAAAATTCTTCTTTTACGGATTTAAAAAAAAAACTCACAAAGGTGCTCGAATTGATCGAATGCGCGAGAGGTAACACGTAAAGACCAGTATCAGCAGCTAGCCATAAACTGAATCCTTCAGCACCCCAATCAACCCAGTGATACGAGAGTGCCGGATGAGTTGTCCTTAAGTGAGTTAGCCAAGTTAAAGAAAAAATTAATAAACGGTGTCGGTGAAAAGATGCGTTTTTTGCATAGTTCCCCGCAGGTTTTGTCGCTCTAACTGCACTAGTTTTTGCTGCAAATGCTTCTAGCTAAAATAACTAAGACTGGCCACCAGGTCTATCTGAAAACATCCTTTTAAAATTTCGGCTTTCTACCTTTCTTAATTTCCGAGTTAGCAACCTACCCGCAAAAACTTTCACGGGCCCGTAGATAGGAACCACGCATATCCGGGGACTGGGTTTGAGCTCATTAATACGTACTTGGACGGGGAACATCGCCTTAAAATTCTAGTTTTCTAGCTTTTCAGGTTCTCGAGTTAGCAACTTATCCGGAAAAATTTTGGCAGATTCGTACGTAGGTATCGCGCGAGAAAGAGCGCTTATTTTGGAGATGGGGGGGCCCGTACACGCATGTACATTAAGTCCCCAAAGTTTCAGCCCTGTAGCTTTCGTAAGTCTCGAGATGAAAAATCGGTGCAGACGCACAGCGCACATACACACACAGACACACAGACAGACACGCACATAGACACACACACAGGCAAAATATGCGTTTTCTGCATTGCATAGGTGCAAAAAATGAATAAAAAATAAATCATTTGAAAGAAATTTTTTTTGGCAGATTAAGATCGAACTGCTCTTCTTTTTATCCACATCTTACGAGACAACTATTGGTTCACTAATAAAGCTCATCACTGATGTAGTTAACAACAAAACCATGTTATTTTCCTCTTCTTTTTCTTTGGCTGTTTTGACCAATGGTCAGTCTTCTGGCGATTCTGACATTCCTTTCGTCGTTTGAGGGGATTACTACCACTTCCATGACTTTCACAACAGAAGCTCTTTGGCAAGGCTTTGACCATTTGAAGATTCGATTCAGTGGTGTGTTTTGAGCATCATCACCGTCTCCTCCCCAAGCATTCCCGTCACTCCTAGATCGCGTTTAAGTAATTGAGCCGCCTGAGAAACCTATCTCTTACCCCTCTCCCCTTCCCCTCCGTAAAATTATTCAAAAAATCGAAAAACCTGTTGTTGGATGATTCCAGAGAACACCATAACTGTGCACCAAATGAACTAAATATTGCAACAATTGGCACGGTATCGGTGCTATCTGGCGATCGTCCTTCATCGCAGAGCAGAGGGGACCAGACTGCTGCGATTGCTGTACCTTGCGCATAACATTCCACATGGCGTACTTCACTCATCCGATTTAGCAATTCTGAATTGTTCTTCAATTACTGTTTATTATAAACAGAGATGAAAAACGAGCTTGGATTGGAGGGGGGAAATGGCGCATCAGGCCCGGGAGATCGACGGTACTTTTTTTGGGCAGTAGTACCCGAATCCTGCATGAGGCAAACGCATGTGTGAAAGTTTTGGCGCGGAAATTACTGACCCGCAAACGGGAAAAGCTAGAAAGCTGAAACTTTAGCGTAATGTTTCCTACCCTTGCATGACCAAAAGATTTCAAATTCAGCTCCTTTAAACTGTCCGGTACTCAAAATCAAGTGTTTAATTATTCGAAGATATCAGTCGAATCAATCCAGCGCGAAATAATTTTATGCTTAGCTTGAGATGGCCTGAAAACGAATTTACAGAAAATACAACATACCTGGTCCATCTTTGACTTGCAATGAAACACGATATGTGCAAATTAATGAACCATTTGTATCATCCAGATGAAATGCAGCAATATCACCACTGGAAGCAAAAAAATGAAAAATACAAAGATTCAAAAAAAATTTTTTTCGCTAAACCCCGCGGAAAAAAATTTAACACCTCAAAAAAAAGCTGTGTTTTTGTTCTACACACAAAAAATCGCAGAATAAAAGTAGAAAATGAGGAACAGGACGAAGAGATTTGATTATTTTTCGTTTAATCCCCCAAAAAATTCCGAAAAAAGCACAGTTTGGCCGCAGTTTAGGCTGTAGCTAGGGATATACGACTTTAATGAGGATGCCAACTGCTTGTCATATCATGAATAGACCAGAAGGATTGTACCCAGGCGTCATGTGTAAGGTGATATTTTATGGTGCAAACTGTCTTCCATCGTTTAGATGTGGTAAGGTGATATTTTACGATACAGTCTGTGCTTCATCCCTTAACTGTAAACACAGACCAGACTATGCATGAAGGTGGGCTACTGTAATATTAATTGAGAAATATGAGAATTAAAACTCCTTCTTTATTCGTTTTCTAAGACAAACAGAGACACTCCGAGATATTCCGAGGATAACAATTTTCAACAGCTATTCCCGCCCAATCTCATTTGGGGATTTCAAGCAAGCTAATGTTTGGTTCATAGGAGGATCCAGGACGGGCTCCTGAGGGTCGGGGAAGGGGGCAGCGACGTGAATGGGGAGAAGAGCCCTTCCCCACCCTGGAACAGTGCAAAAACTTGGATAGAGTTGTAACACTGCTACTCAGAGTTACTTTAGACTCTAGTTCACTTTAGTTTTAGCTTTAGACTCGGGTTTTTGCAGCACTGGTGCTTGTGTCG